GCCTGCTTCTCCTCTGTCTGTGTCTCTGCCTCTCTCTCTGTGTCTCTCATGAATAAATAAATAGAATCTTAAGAAAAAATGTTTCTCAAGACGTAAAATGACTTTAGGCAAATATAATAAATCCCTACTCTCACCGGATGAATTCCACTTACTCCCACCCTTGTAAGTTCTACCCATTTGTCTTGTCAACTCTCATTGTTTGGTTTCCTTTCTGTCCCTGTGGAGGAACTGACATGCTCCTTTCTATGCCTTCTGTCCCCTCTTCCTTAAGATACCATTTCAGCACTTTTTTTTTTTTCCTCAGTTCTGCATTGCCACCTTTCCCTTCATATGATTAATTCCATCAGCCAATGGATGTGTTGTTAGTTTGCCCATCTTTATAAAACCCTCCCTTGATTTTACATCCTTCTCCAGCTGGTGTCTCACTGTTTTCCTCTCCTTTACAGAAAAACTTAAAACAGTTGTCCACAGTCAATCTCTTCTCTCCTGATGTGTTCCAATCAGGCTATCACTCCACTGTAGCAGCTCTTGTCAGCCTCCTGGAGGACTCTCCAGTTGTCTAATACCACGATCCATTCTTAATCTCATCTTACTTGAGCAGTTTTGGATGGAATGGAAGTCCCTTACCTTCATGAGAGACCCTTTCTATTTGGCTTTGGGTCCTGTCCTCAGTTTTCCCCCTACCTTGTTGACCACTCATTCTCTCTCTTTCTCCTGACCTCTAAACACTGGAGCTCCCAGGGCTCAGTGCTCTGGTCTCTTCCCTATCTAATGCTCTCTAAGTGATCTCATCCCCTTGTCTGACTTTAATGAATTCCAAATATATATTTCTAGCTTGTAGTTCTCCCTGGATGAAAGACTAACATACCTAGCCCCAAAGGCATTTGTGTGCTAATTAGAAAAAGCTGCTCTTTTTGTCAAGCACTTGACTGCCATCTTCTGGAAAATTTTCAGAATAAATAAACATTTAACAGATGACTTTGAATGTGAGTGGGATCTCTTACAGCTGTGTAATCCTCAACTGTTAGCAACAGTTCTGTTTCTCTGCTTGGGTGGGATGTAGGAGGCATCACAAGTGTAATAAGTCCCCAGCCAAACTCCTGATCCTGAACCCCCATCTCCCCAACCTCTTCCTTTCAGTCTTTTCTATTTCAAACTTCTTCCCATTGCTGTAGTCAAACTCCATGAAGTCCTTCATGACTCCTCTCTCTCCCATACTCCGAGTTTAATCCATCAGTAAATCATACTGTTTTTTTTCTTCAAAATACATTAGAATTCAACCACTTCTCCCCACTCCTACTGCTGCCACCCTGGTCCAATCCCCATCATCTCTCACCTCCATTATCCCAAATAGCCAGCTTCCTCTCTACCCCTCACTGTCTATTCTCAACACAACCATCCCAGTGATTTATTTAAAACCTAGGTCACATCATGTCTCACCTCTACCCCAAGCCTTTCAAGTGATCTACTGTTCAGCCAGAGTAAAAATTCAAGTCCCACGGGCTCCACACAATCCAGGTCTGTACCACAGCTCTGACCTCATCTCCTGCCTTTCTCCCCGATGTGTTCTATGATCCAGATGTGTTGCTTGTTCTTCTTCCAGTGTGCTTTCAGCTCCAGATACTCTGCTGGGATGCTCCTCTATTAAAGCATTGCTTGCTCCCTTCTTTTCTTCAGTTTTTGCTCAAATGTCACTTTATCTTATCAGAGAAGCTTTCCTCAATCAAAGCATATAACAAACCAATCTTCCTGTCCTAGCATTAAATATCCCCCCTACTGTTCAATTTTCTCCATAACACTTATCAGCTGGCACACCCACATTGCTATTTCATCTCAGTCGAATTTAAGTTTCGACTGAGGTTAGAGACTTATATGTATTTTTTTCTCCTCTGCAATTTCTATAATAGTGCACCGTGAAATAGTAAGAGCTCAAAATATTAGTGGAATAAATAAATGAATACAGCATCTCTAAATCTCTCTGTGGGATCCTATCCTTAAAAAGACACGAAGGTTTGAGATGGTCCTACACAGTTCTGATCTCTCAATTTCAAAATAAAAGCATTTTTAGGAGATCAAGAATGAATTAAAATCTAATTTGAAAATTGCATGGATTTTGCAGCTTTCTGGAAGGGTCTTGGTTTCCTACAGAGAAAGCAAGTAGGCGCCATCTAGTGGCTGCAAGGACGTCTACAATTGTGTTACTTGAATTATTGATTGGCAGCGTAATTGAAAATGTAGTCCCTGATCCAGAAGCTTATTAATTTTATGAAAGTAATAATTATGGCAGCTATAAATCCTCAACTGTGCATTTTCCACAAAATATATTGAGTTGAAAAAGTACAGTTCCATTTCTTATCAATTATGACTCCTTTTTACGAATTAATTTTTGTTTTCTTGGATCTGATAACCTTTGTTCCTCTTTATTTTTATTGTTTTATCCTCTACTTATTTCTAAACTTATATGTTCCTATGATACTGGCCAATCCTTTGAGTTAGGTAAATAAAATAAAGGCCATATCTTCTGGGAATGTAGATGCTAATAAAACAGCACCTATGAGGGTAAACATGTGAAAGAACATGCCAGAAGATGCAGTCATCTCTTCAGGCCAGAATTCTGAAGCCTCCTGAATTTGTACTGGGTATACTTCCACTATTGAGGAATAAACTGTGGGAGTCTTAGCTTGCCGTTTTTCAGAAAGTGACATATAGCATATGGAAACACTAAGAAAGAAAAATATTCACGTCCACCTACATTGACAGGGAAGACTGAAATGAAGTAAAGTCTCTGTCCTAACATTTGAAAGATTAAGTCATTACAGTTCTTTGGGAAATTAAAACTTAAACTGGCTAGTCCACTTCAGAAGCCATGGCCTTTCCAGTCCTGAGTAGCTGTGGTGGGGTTGGGAAATCTGTGTCTGCCTCCAGGAGGCCTGAGCAATGATCAGACAAGCATGGGAAGGTGGCAAGAGAAGCCCAGGGAGAAGATGAACTCCTTGTGCCAGGGCTCAGATTAATCCTGTCTTTTTTACGGGGAGGAAGACTGCCTGAGTAGCTCCAGGGGGCGAAAGTTGGACCAAGGAAGTGTGATTAGAAAGCAGATTTCAGACTTTTGTTAAGATACATTTTCCCAGGGGTGCTGGAGTGGCTCAGTTGGCTTAGCATCTACCTTCCACTCAGGTCATGATCCTAGGGCCCTGGGATGGAGCCTGGTATCAGGCTCCCTGCTCAGCGGGAGTTTGCTTCTCCCTCTGTCCCTCCCCTGCCGCATGTGCTGCTTACTTGTGCGTGCTCTCTCTCTCTCAAATAAATACAATTTAAAAAAAAAAAACATTTTCTAGAGCATCTGGATGGCTTAGTTGGGTAAGTGTCCATCTCTTGATTTCAGCTCAGGTTTCCATCTCAGGTTTGTGTTTAAGCCCCACATTGGGCTCCGTGCTGGGCGTGGCGCCTACTTAAAAAAGAATTGTAGAATTGTTTTTTCCAATAAGAGGGTTTTTTTTCCCCCCTCAAACATCAAAGCCTCAGTTTCCTATCAGTGGATGTTTCCGAGCAGAGGCTGGTTGGTAACCAGCCAGGAATATGTTGGGCTATTAAGATTCTCTGATTCCCTTAAACACCTTACTTTCTCTGCATACACTGAAACCCTTCCCACTCTTCGGTACTCACTTCAAACCTCATTTTCTTTTTTAGATACTGCAGCTTGAATCCATCTTTCCTATCTCTGTCTTTCCTTTCTCTTTAAATGCAGATCAGCATCATTTCATGCTGCCTTTGTTAACTGATGCTAAGCTGCTTGAAGACATCTTAGAGTTGTCTCCCTGTTGGCTTTGCTACAGTGGGTGAAGGTCAAATGTTTATGGTGGAAATGGTGGAAAGACTACCAATAATTTTCTCACCTGACATCTGGGCTTCAGATACTTAGCTGTAGTCTAAGTTTGATGCAGTAGTTCTTCAGCTAGTTATTAGAGAATCAAAAATTTTGTTAAGATTCATTCTCTCATTAAGATTATAATTTTTAAAAGTCTAATAGTATCAGCTGCCTTTTTGAGTTGTGTTATAACACAACTCAAAGTATACCTGATACTTCTGGAAACAGGAATAGAAGTCCATAGTACAACATTTAGTAGGATGTTACTAAAACTTAATCCAATTTTCTGTTATTATGTAGTTTTTCCTACTTCCGTGGATACTGATTTTTTTTTTTTGGATTGTACGTATTTTCTTTCATCCCAAACTCTTTTTTTCTTGAGAAATCTTTTAAAGTATTCAAGTTAGTGTGGTATCTTGAATAGTATATTTTAAAGCTACAATATTCCATATATTATTTCTCTTTAAAGAATTAAGTACAGTTTCTTTTTAAATTGTCTTGCCTTCTGAAGCTATATTTATATGACTTAGCATTCCCTCTTAATAAAGTGGTGATATTGAAAAAGGGCATGCTAATAGGATTAGCAGGTAGGCTTTGTATGTTCCCTAGACTTAATTTCTTTGACAATCAGATGCTGTTTCCTTTTCATTTGGAGGGCCAAAATTCTCTTTAAATTATTTAATAGACTATATGATTTAGGGACTGCTTTTAGTATTTAATTGCTCATCTGCAAATTAACAAATTTAGCATTCCTAGCATTTGTACTGTGTTTAATATTTCTAAAGTGTTAGCTGTGTTTCTTAGTAACTGCTGTATTCTCTCATTTTAATGGCTGAGGAGACAATATTGGATACTTTGACTTGTAGTTAAAAAAACATTGTTTCTCAGGGTGCCTGGGTAGGTCAGTTGGTTGAGCCTCTGCCTTTGGCTCAGGGTATGATCCCAGGGTCCTGGGATCAGACTGCTCCTCCATGTGCCTCTGCCCGCCACTCCCCCTGCTTGTGCTCTCTCTCTTTCTCTGTCAAATAAATAAATAAAATCTTTTCTAAACAAACAAACAAACAAACATTGTTTCCCTACAATTATTGCAAGAGTGCATGGATTTTAAGTTATGTTAATTTGTCTTTTGTAGAATATGCTGAATTTCTACATTGCAAAGGAAAAAAATTTACAGATTTTGATGAAGTTCGCCATGAGATTGAAGCAGAAACAGATCGAGTGACTGGAATGAATAAAGGCATTTCCTCCATACCTATTAATTTACGAGTCTATTCTCCACATGGTAAGTAAAAAAACAAAATTCCAAATTTTTGTCCTCAAAAATTTTATATTAATTGACATACATTATTTGTGTAGAAGATGATTTGTTCTGTCAGAAAGTACCAGGTTTCTGGGATTACGTTTGGATACTACCATAAATGAACTGGTCCAAAAAGCTCACCAATTTATGGGGAGGCAGGAGGACATGACTTTTAAAAAATCAGAATTGAGTATGTCACTTAAAAATATTTCTTTATGCTTATTTTAAAATTAGAGTTTCAAGAAGTATGCATGAAAAATTCCATTTTTTAACATCTTCAGTCTTAGCAAGAATCTTAGAGATACATGGTACTGTGATTGAGTCTTCCCCTATCAGATATTCTGTAGCCCTCTGATTTTCTATTTATTCCCTTCCTAAGGAATCAACTAGAATTTTCTTCCAGACTAACAGAAGAAACTTATAAATTAGATAACCAGTTTATAGTATATGATAGTAACCTCTATTCCGACTAAATTTTCAATGGGACAGATTTTAATCTCTAATCTTCTACTCAGCTCTGTTGCTTTTAAAGTGGAATGTGAATAACATAATGGTCAATTATGACTTTCCAAGAATATTTGGTGCCAATTCTGTTGTGTGCAGAGAATGATAGCCTGGTCCCAGCTGGAGTCACTGACTCAAGGGTAGTTTCCTGCTCTCCTGATGATACTCCATGAGTCTGGCTGTATAGTCTACATAGTAAACTTGTGGTACTACAAATGGTTCACAGATTTCCACTAGGCTAAGTGTCTAGCCCTCTCTAAATAAGTATATAATACTTTTGAAGGGAAGGACAAATCTTATCCTAAGAATTTTTATACCATTTGAGGGCAGTGTATAAGACTGGCAGACAGCATATGCATTTCTTGTTCAGTGTTTGAATTATAACACACTAGTGACAGATATGACAGTTCTCTCTTAGCTGTGCAAATCAGTGCCTTTCAAATTGTGCTAAAATGATCATTTGGTTTAGAACAATCATATCATAAAAATAGAGAAAACTAAAAAGCCATTTTGTATTCGGTGTACACAGAAGTTGAAGTTAACACAGTATATAATATATAAAGCTGAGCTTGTTTTATTTCCACTAACAAGACAGGTGATTTGCATTATTTTTTAGCATAGAGAGTTTATGCAAGACTCTTCTTCCCCCTCCCCCCATACAGTGTTAAATCTCACACTTATCGACCTACCTGGAATTACTAAAGTGCCCGTGGGAGATCAGCCACCAGATATCGAGTATCAGATCAGAGAAATGATCATGCAGTTTATCACGCGGGAGAACTGTCTGATTTTGGCTGTTACGCCAGCCAACACCGATCTTGCAAACTCAGATGCACTGAAGCTAGCTAAAGAAGTTGATCCTCAAGGTGAGTGTGTGACCTTTAAGATGAAAGAGAATTAGTTTAAAATGTCAAGAGTTTGTGTATATTTCAAGGTAACACAATTCTCATAACTTAATTTCATTATTAATTTAATTAGCTGTGATTTATATTGTTAGATTTTTTTGAATTTAAGATGCTGAAAGAAAAATAACTAGGGGATATAGTCTAAACCTATATAAATAAATGGTAATATTAAGTGAGATCTAATAAAACAGACATATCTATTCCTCATGAAATACTTATTTTAAAGAGCTAATAAACTAAACTTCTGGTACAGGATTCAGACAGTCCCCTTTAGTTATTAAAAGAGTTACCTGAATGTACTTCCAGTGAAAACTCTGTTTTATGTATGTTTTGTTTCTTTAAAATAGGAAGCCCACTTAATGTATGTAAAGTATTATTTAGCTTATAATTATTTGACATAAGCATGTATTATAAAAGCAGGGATTTTATTTTATTAGTATTTCAGAATCCAGAAAAATCCCTTATTTCTGCTGATGTTTTGATTTTTTTCTATGAACTGAGTAATAATAGTTTATTTTCAGAGATCCCATAATTGGACTCTCTGTGTGTGTGTGTGTGTGTGTGTGTGTGTGTTTAAAGTAGCTAGGGAAAGGCACTCAGTGATGTGTCTCCTCAATGTGGAGATGTATGTTCTCCAATTCTAAGAATTTTTTTGACAATTAATTGCCTCTACTTTCTCTTTTGTATTTATCTGGAATCCTTATTATTAGCATGTTAGAACTTCTGGATTAACCCCCTTTTAAAATAAATCCTCCCCTTTTATTGTGTTTCTTTGTGTTTTTTTTTTTTGTTTCTTTGTGTTGATGTTCTACTTTTCAGAGTTTACTCAACTTTATCTTCAACTCCACTAATTAATTTTTCATTTCTGATATTTAAAAAGTTCCAACAGCATTTTCTCATTTTGTGAATGTTATTTTTATTTTTTTAAATAGCATTATGCTCTTTGCTTTGCAAGTACAGTATTTTCTCTAAAGATATTGGGATCCCTGGGTGGCGCAGCGGTTTGGCGCCTGCCTTTGGCCCGGGGCGCGATCCTGGAGACCGGGATCGCATCCCACGTCGGACTCCCGGTGCATGGAGCCTGCTTCTCCCTCTGCCTGTGTCTCTGCCTCTCTCTCTCTCTGTGTGACTATCTTAAAAAAAAAAAAGATATTAATGAGAAATCTTTTGAGGCTTTTCCTTTGTAATCTACAGTGTCTCTGTGTCTATTTTTTCTGGTGATTCTTGGTCATTGTCTTTGATGTCAGAGACCTTTTGTTCAAATGATTGGTGTCTTTTGCTGCTCATTCAGATATAGGAGTAAATCACTAATAAGTTGATGAAAATTCTATATGCTATGAATGGGATTCATTGACTAATCAGCTTTATCATTAGGTGATGGGACTGGCCATTTTTTTAGGAGGCTTTCTCAGCTGCTGTTTGATACTGTATTTCCACTTGCACTGGTCTGGTATAATCTGATTTCCAATGTTTCAGAGTCAAGAGGAAGAATTGAGTTTGGCAGAGGAATGTGGGGTGGGTCTCACTGTTTAGCATGTAGACTTTTAATTAATCCCTCTGCTTTCATAATGGCATTCCCAAAGATCTTCTTGAGTTTAGAGTCCTGGATTATCCTCTTCTGAAAGCAAATCTTCAGTATCCTGTTGAGGCTAAGGAGGAGTAACTATGCGGTTATGCAAGATGAGAAAAATGGTCTGGAAGTCTATCAATATTGCATATACATTTTCAGCCAATTCTATTTTCTTTCTTTCTTTTTAAAAGATTTTAATTTATTTATTCACGGGAGACACACAGAGAGAGGCAGAGATATAGGCAGAGGGAGAAGTAAGCTCCCTGTGGGGAGCCTGATGTGGAACTTGATCCTAGGACACTGGGATCATGACCTGAGCCAAAGGCAGATGCTCAACCACTGAGCCACCCAGGTGCCCCCAGTTCTTCTATTTTCAGCTCCTCTTACACCCTGGCCTTGGTGCCTTTAGTTCTTAAATCATGGGGCATCTGGGTGGCTCAGATGGTTAAGCATCTGAGTTTGGCTCAGGTCACGATCTCCAGGTCCTGGGATCCAGCCTCGTATAGGGCTCCCTGCTCAGTGGGGAGCCTGCTTCATCCTCTCCCTATGCCTCTCCTGTATGCTGATGCATGCACTCTCTCCCTCAAATAAATAAGTAAAATCTAAAACAACACAACAACAACAAAAACAAAAACCCAACAAAACAAAACCTTCCCAGAGTTCTGCAGAATTCTCTCTACCAACATTAACGTGAGTATGTTCAATCAATCTCAAGAATTAGCTACAGATATTTTACAGGACATGTTAGCTGTCCAATTTTCTTTTAACTTACATTTCTTATAAAATTCAGAGTTTATAAAAACAGAAGATTCTCCTTTGGCTGTTCTTCTACTATATTTGAAGTTGTAAGGTTGTAAGGCAGAGGCAATTGCAACCATTTTGTCAACTGTGAGGAGAATCTACCTGAGAAATGAACCAACTCCAGGGAGACAGAACCAAAGACTGACACATTCATGTTATATTTTACTCCTCTTGTTTAGAAGGGATTATTAATGACAGTGACTATATCTCATTCCTCAGGCTCCTCAAAAGAAGATTCATTTATAACCCAAAACAATAACTCTCATGTGATGGCATATCATTAGGTGGGAGTAATTAATGTTGGTGGAGGGAGTCATCAGTTTACCAGAAAAGAGGCAGTTTTTACCATCTCACTGACAGTATTTACAGTGCGTTGTTACAGCATAAAAATACAGCATTGTTTCAGTCATGGATTTGTAATAGTATGCTATAAGTCTGTATCCAGAAAGTTAAATTTGAATTTTTATTCCTAATGTAGGCCTGGCTTGTTTTATAAACCTATTTTTATTAAATACTACTTAGAAGTTGCCATCCGCGTGTTCATGAATTTATTCAAAATGAGCCTCATTTCTTGTGGATCAGTAGAACTCCTGCTTTGTCAAAGATTGGCCTTCATTACTTCAGTATTTAATATCCTACTTATGGTAGTTTTGAGGATAGGTTTTTGTAATTTTTGCAGATCATTGGCAGAAAATTTTGTAGGTAATTGATAATTTTGCAGAAGAGAGAAAACATTCAGTGCCACTGTGTGCCATTTACTTGTCTGACCGATTCCTTCATGGTGATTGCTAAGGAGGACAAATTAATTCATTGCCTGAAGACTCTTAATAAGTATGATTCTTGGGTTCAATAATAAAAGTCCCTTGCTACCCTCAAGGCTTGCAATTTGTTTTCACATCCCAGTTTAAATTCTAAAACTCCTGAGCACTGTTGTGAGAAACCTGAAAACCATCTTTGCAGGGTGCTCAGGTCTCCTTCAGAGAACCACTTTGGTGTGTTGCTATCCTCTGGCTTTGGTTGGTCCTGGACATCACTGGAGCTCCAAAGGAAGAGGGTGAATTCTTTCCCAAACCAACAGAGTTCGCATTGTGTGTTTTCATTAGCAGTAAAAGAATTAAAATAGAGAAAGGAAGAAGCTGGGAAGGCCTTGGGATCTGGTATATAGGGATATGTTGTATCGGGATTGATAAACAGACTTTCATTTACTTTCTGTGTCCTTCTAGTCATTCTGTGAGTATGTTTTAAATATCTGTTTTAGAGGTCTAGTTTTCCTTATAATTACAGCTTTGGTGAAAAAGCAATGACATCAGCCTTGGTTATTTAGATGTGTGATGCTTAATTTCCACATGTTTGTGAAATTCCCAAATTTCCTTCTGTTATTGATTTCTAATTTCATTTAATTTTGCTTGGAGAATATGCTTTGTAACATTTCGGTCCTTTAACATTTATTGAGACTTATTTTATGGCTTAACATGTCACCTGTCTGGAGAATCTTCTATGTGCATTTGAGAAGAATGTGTATTCTGCTGTTGTTGGGTATAGTGTACTATAGATATTCATTAGATCTATTTGATTTATAGTGCTACTCAAATATTGTTTCCTTTGTAATCTTCTGTCTACTTGTTCTATTATTGAAATTGAGATATTAAAGTCTACCACTATTATTGATAAATTGTTTCTCTCTTCAATGGTCAGTTTCTGCTTTATGTATTTTGAGACTCCTGTTAGATGCATTTATACTTGTTATGTCTTTTTGATGGATTAACCTTTTGATCATTATAAAATGTCCTTTTTTTGCATATAGTAACAGCTTTTGTCTCAAAATTCTGTTTTGTTTGATTTTAGTATAGCTACTCTAACTCTCTTTTGGTTACTGTTTTCCAGGTATATCTTTTCCCATTGTTTACTTTTAACCTATTTGTATCTTTGAATATAAAATATATCTCTTGTGGACAGCATATAGTTGGATCACTTTTTAAAACCCATTCTCTAAAAAAATAAAAAATAAAAAAACAAAACAAAACAAAACAAACCCATTCTCTAATATTTGCCTTTTGACCAGAGTGTTTAATCCATTTCCATGTAATGTAATTACTGATAAAGCAGAATTTATATCTGTCATTTGCTCTCAGTGTTCTTTATGAATTATGTCTTTTGTTTGTGTATTTCTCTATTGGGCAGCAGAGAAATAATTTTTTGTTAAAGACGTATTTTCTGCTGTACCATTTTAATTCCCTTGTCATTTATTTTAATGTTTTTTTTAAAATTGGTTTTCTTACTGGTTGCCATGGAATTAAAATTAACATCTTTTAAATCAGAGAGGAGAAAAAAATTACAAACAAATAATTATACACTTATATTTTCTTTTATATGTACCTAAGTAGCTACCTTTACCAGTGTTCTTTATTTGTGTGGATTTGAGTTACTGTCTAGTGCCAAACTTTCTTTTCAGCCTGAAAGACTCCAGTTAGTATTTCTTATAGGGTAGGACTGTTAGAGTGGGATTCTCAGTTTTTATCTGGGAATGTCTTAATTTCTCCTTAATTTTTGAAGGAAAATTCTTAGCTGATAGTCTTTTTTTTTTCTTCCA